CCGTGTGTTACCACGTCCCAAACGACTCAAAATAATAAACCACAAAGTTAACAAAACGATGCACTGTGCTGAGCGAGAGCGCTTCTGCCTTCACGTGCTATCGGAAACTTCCTGTTTCTCACTTATGAAGTCATGATTACGAGCTCATTGCATTCTTTTCTGTTAAAAATAACAGTGAACAGTGGTTTGTGAATGTTGATGCTTAGCCTAAATAATTTTATCGGGAGCGCTGCTGCAGTCTTAGGTCCACCCCAAATGCTCTCATTGGTTGAGACGCGTTATGACAACGGACTTTCAAAATAATAATTATTATTTTGTGTTAATGCGCGATAAAATAATTGTCTGCGTTAATTAATGCTTTAACACATTAACTTGCCCAGACCTAATATATATATATTTATATATGTGTGTCTATATATATATTATAATAATTATAATAGTCTCTATATTATTAAAGCATCAACATTCACAGAACACTGTTATTTTTAACTAAAGCAAGCGGCTGCTGCGTGCATGGTTTGGTATTGTAATGAGCCGGCAGTGAGTGCTAGCAGCCAGGTGCATTATGGGTATTTGTTTAGAGTTGATTTATGTGTTAATTAAGCAAGATGGTTGGGTTTTTGCATTAGCAATGTTATTTGTGTTTATGTTCCAAGTTAGTTCGGGTGGGTTTGGTTCATTTACTACCTTGTTATAAAAAGTGTGGCTGTCACCGTCATGGAGAGAGATGTGTAGGGGAGGCACTTGGCGATATGGCCTTGCCTGTGTAAGTTCTCATTCTGTGTTTAGAATAAAAGGAGAAAGATGACGGTATTGTCTCCTGCTGGTTTGTTCTGTTTGGCTTCTTTTCACAGAGACACTCAGGGTCGCGAGGTGTGTGGTACGCGAATGTTCGCAATCTCCAATAACTAAATTAAAAGTCTCGACGTGTAGATGCTAACATCCTGTTAGCAATTAGCTTAACAACAGTTTAGTAGCCTAGCTTAGCTCCACTTAGCCCCACGTTCTATAGAACAACTGCGTGTTATTACAGTATGACAGAATGCCAGCAAAGAGCGCTGCATTTATGGTCTCTAAAATACATCTCAGTTCATAGTTATATCATCTCACAAATCTCTGTTATAACACAATAAATATAAGCATAATGAATCTTTCATAATGTCTACAATTCGTGTGTTATAATGAGAGGATTCGTGAGCACGCAGATTTCAGCACTGCATTGCCCAACGCTGCAAACACGTGTTATAGCCTAAATAGAACCTCTGCATACGCTTGCAACTGTTAATCGTTTATATTTATATTAGTTCATGTTGCGTTTGTGCAATAGATGAATAACAATTTATTTGTTTTAGATATTTTATGTTTAGATATTTCTATTTTGCGGGAGTACCGTGAATCATTTTTTTCTCCCGCATCCCGCACACACACAAGTCTCTGCACTCGCCTATCAAGTCTGGTAAGATGCATTTGTGTGAGCATTTGGGGAAATATTTATGCTTTTACTTGTGTATTTATGAATTGTGTTTTGAATTTACGAATCGGATTTTGTAAATGTAAATTGTGCTGTGCATTTATGAATTTTGTTTTGCAAATGTGTTATTTTTGAGGCCGATCTGGCTCCATAATAAACCTGCCTTGGCTAAAATTGGACTTGAGAGCGAAAACCTTGGACTTCAAGAAACACAAGCAGAATTCATTTCTGTACGTTTTAGAAAAAGAAAACTGATGTTCATTCACGAAGCCTTTGTCTCTTTTTCTCAACAGTCCACTTTCATTTTACACATTCATTGGTTGTTCTTAAAAGTCAAGGAGGATATTGAATGAATTTCTCCAGGTGTATATAAAACAAGAAACTGATATAAACAGCATGTTGGAGTCTGAAAGTGCTCCACGAGAGAGGCCTGTACAGACGGAAGCTGACGATCATGGCCTCGCTCAAGGGAAATGTAGCTGTCCATCATACTGGCACTTCCTTCATCCGCCAATGACAAACAACAGTTTATCTACGCCTCGGGAAAATATTTCACATGTCAAAGAGGAGACGCAGAGAGTAACAGAGTGGCGGAGAGAGAGAGAACAGGACAAATAGGAAAAATAAAAAGCATAAAAAATTAAATAACACAAAAATAAAAATATATTAAATATTTAGAAAATAAAATTAAATAAAATCAGTAACTTTGGGAACAAACTGTAGCTGTCAATCAGAGACGCACCTGAGCATGAGGTTCATGAGCTGAAGCCCCTCCCCCCTGAGGAAACGATCACGATTGGCTGGAAGCATGAGGCAGGAACAGAGGGCATCAAACAGATTCTCCATCATTTCCTGTTCCTCCGCCGTGGCTGGATTATGACGCTTAAACACCTGTGAGGAGAAAAAAAATGTAAATGTAAATAAATGAATAAAGCCTTTTATGAAGATTTTAGGAGCACCATTGTGCTTGTCATCAAGACCAAGCATTATCAATAACTTTTTTTAAAAATTTAATAATTAATATAAAAAACATTTATGAATAAAAATGTAATTCATTATTTAATTAATAACGAAAAAAGAAAAAATTAAGCCTTTTATAAATATTTAATGAATACATTGTACTTAATTGTCATGAAAAAGAAGCATGAACAATATTCTTGTAAAAAGTTTAATGTATAAAAAATTTTATGAAAGAAAGAGAGAGAGAGAGACAGACAGATAGAAATAGTCAGAGAGATAGATACAGACAGACAGATTTTAGGAGCACATTGAGCTTAATAACCTTGTAATAATGTTAATAAAATACAAAATTTTAGTGAATAAAAAAAACATTATATAAAAACAAAGCGAGAGAGAGAGGGAGAGAGAAAAAGAAAGAAAATAAATAGAGTTATACAAAGTTATAAAGAGTTTAGGAGCACACTGTGCTTTATTGTGATGAAAATTAAGCATTAAATGTTAATTAAGAATAAAAATAAATCTTATTTGTTCAGGCCAAAACAAAACAATACCCTCTCTTTATTTTATTACACAGATATGTGTTTAAATTAAACGTTGTCTGGTCATGTTGTGCAACACACAAACATCATCAAAGGGATGTTAAAACGATTGTGAAAAGAGAAAACAGCAGCGTGGAGCAGAATGAATGAAGCCGGCCGTATGTTCTGGGTCATGATGATCTCTAAAGAGTCTCACACTGTGATTTCAGACAAGGTTTGCTGCTCTTACACAGAGAAACAGAGAGAGACGGTCTTACTGAGAGCTGCTGCAGTAGTACATCAATCCCGTCCATTTCTCCCAACAGCTCCCTCGTTTCTGAGAGAGAGAGAGAGAGAGAGAGAGAGAGAGAGAGAGAGGAGTGGGAGGACAGAAATCAGTGAGAGAGACAGACATGAAGAGCAAAGATGATGAATGTTAGTTCAGTGTGTTAATAAAGCCTAGAGGGAGAGACGTGCATGTGATAAATGCAGGTACTGAGTTCCATTACTAAAGTCATACATCACAGCATGAGTATGAAATCAGCTTGATTTTTTACCAAATGCAATGTATTCCATTTTAATTTTCTGGACTTTGTTTTAAGTAAGTTTAAATAATAAAAAAACATGTTTAATAAGTTGAATTTCTGGCTACTTTAATGGCAAAATCAATGCATTTTAAAGGAAACAAAGAGTTAGTCAAACAGTAGTAGTGAAAAACAACAATTTACAACCACCTCACATTAGTATAACAAACATTACATAAGATTTATCATTTCAGTACTGTATTTGATTAAAAAATAGGATATCCTGGATGGCCCATTTTGATGAACTATTCTTTTAAATACTGTTAAGAGAAAAGGCCTTTTCACATCAGTACAAAAAGTCACAGCATATTTTTGGCATGAAAATCAGTGACCTCCAACGATACTTTTTTGTTTTGACTGTAATATATATATATATATATATATATATATATATATATGTGAATTCAGCTGAATAATGTAGATAATGTAAATGTAACGAAAATGAACATTTGCTGAATTTTTACTCGCCCTCAGGCCATCCAAGATGTATATGATGTTGTTTGTTCATCAGATTTGGAGAAATGTAGCATTCCATCACTTGCTCACCAATGGATCCTCTGCAGTGAATGGGTGCCGTCAGAATGAGAGTCCAAACAGCTGATAAAAACACCTCAATAATCCACAAGTTTTGTTTTGTTTCTTACAAACACGCAGCTTTTGACTTCTCAAGATGTTAACTGATGGACAGGAGTGGTGTGGATTACTTGTGGATT